GATAACACATTTTTCTTGATTGTAGATTTTAATTTTTAATAAAGAATAGAAGAAAAAGAATAAAAGAGAAATAATTTCTTCAAATAATTTTTGATGGGTTATTTGATTTTGAATCTCAAGCAGAGTGCAAAGAATATAGACAGAAGATAACAATTCAGTTAAAAAATATTTATCGCACAGGAATGGAGCACCTGCCACGTTCAGAACATTTTTGTGTGGTCAACAGACACAATTGTTAGTTCTATTCCTCCAAATAAATTCTCTTTCGTCCACCATCCGAATTTGAACTCGCGCCTAAATATGAAATCTACCACATATTTCTTTCTTCCTCTTGTATCCTAGCGCACAAATTTCAGTTGCTACCGAAAGAAACAAAACTATTTTTGGAGAAGCCGAATGAGTTGCGAAAAAAGAATACTGTCGAATTATTCAGGCTGAAAAAAAAGCCCGCAACCGAAGTTACGTGTCGTGTAAATAAAATATTTTATGATTAACAGAGGCAAAGATGAAGTGACGTGTAAATATAAAAGATCTGAAAATCAGAAACACATAAACGATGCTTCACTCTATTATTTAAGTACTTTATCATTTTTTTTTCATTGAGAATTTTATGCTTTTCAATAACAACATACAAACTCTAACAAAACTATATAAAACAAGAAAGCACTATATAAATTAAAACTTCATTTTTCACGAAGAAAAGAACTGTCATATTTGAATTTTGTTTTTTTCTGTAGTTAAGTCTTTCGAACAATAACATTTTGCATAACAAAAGGTACACATTAGTGATACGCCACTGAAAAATTACAGGATTTTTCAAAAGGATTTGATCCAATTTTAGACGAGTATAATGCTTTACCAATTTATCAAGTAATAATTTGTCATTTATCAAAGGATAAAGGAAATCTGAGAATGTTAGAATACCACAAAATAATAATAATAATAATCTCTTGGTAATTTTACGAAAATGAGTTTTCCCAGAAAAAAGGAAAGCTGAAGGTTCTGCTTATGTTCCAGGTTTTAAGATTTCAGTCTTTCATCCCTATGAGCGACAGTCTCATTGATATTAAAGAACTGGTCCGCAGTTCGCCAAATTCTTAGAAGGTGTATCTATATAATGCAGTTTGTTTACGTAAACACAAGACTGATCGCGACTGCTGATGTAGCTGTGTAATTAAGTTTGGATGTCTAAATTAATAATTAAGTTTGGATGCTCCATAGTTAGATCCTAACTCGACGAATTTTATCTCACAGACACTTGTCTTTGACAGACTCTCGTGCGTGCTCGTATCGACTTAGCTCACAAAACAACATAAATTCAAAAATAAAGAATATGCTGGAGCAAATATAGGAAGAAATTCATGTTATTTTTTTTTTTTTTTTTTTTTTTGTATTAAAAGGAAATTGCATTCAATATTTTAAGTAAAACTTAGAGTATACTCAATTAATTTTATATACATATTTCTATCTTTGTAAATTTAAGAAATAAAATCATATTAAATTGATTCATGGCCATTTTATATTATACAATATGTGAAACTGAAAACGTCTCTAACGATTGCGGATAAAATGTCTGGAAAACAAACGCATAAAAAATACTAATGTGATAAATGTTTTTTCGTGCAGTAAGGGGAGAGAAAGGATGGATGGATTACTCAATTATGGCAAAGCACACGAGGGCTATCTGCGTGAACGGAGGGATGCCTTTGTGGAGGACTTTCTAAGGAAAACCTAGCTCGTATACACGTTACACATGGGGAAAACCACGAAAACGCCCATGCAGCCAGCCCGTTCGCGGGATTCGAACCTCGGACCGAACTACCAGTGTTCAGCTCGGCCGCTGGTGGGCCAGGGGAGAGAAAGAAAAAGACCTGTGTTTAAATTTATCAATGTACAGGGATTTATGAATAAATGTAAAGAATTTGAAACGATGGGAATCAAAATTATGTGTAACTCTAATGCCAGCACCACTGAAGGTTTCCAGATTTTCTCACTTTAAAAACAGATTACATTTGCATTTTCCTTCCTTTTCCATTAATAGGGGAGGTCTTCAGTCCGTACGTTATATCAATTTAAAAGGGATACGTTTTATCCTAGGCGTTCAAAACGAATAATAATAGTCAAATTGCTCTCCTTTCCTATAATCAGAAAGAAAAAAGTATTAACATTTGATTGCAAGAGACACATTTTCTGGGAATATTGCGCGGGCTTTGATTACATCATTGTATACTTCCGGCTGCTTTACTTGAATCGCTTCTTCAGTATTTCAGGATTTTGAAATCTGTAGTTTTTACTTTATTTCAAATGATTAGAAGAGTGAAACCATTAGTTTAGTTTGTAATTAGAGGTTTAAAAAAATTAAAATTTTATCACAATTATAGCTGTATTTAATTCATGCGCAACGGATGTATATAAATATGTAGCTTGCGTTTTAACTAATAAATGCTAATTGAATTTTATTGGTTTAAAATATATTATTTCTTTCCATAAAAACATAACACTAAACATTCAGTGCCTAATTCAAATGATTATTATCAGAAGAATGTGTATTACTTGCATCATAAGAATATTAAAGGAAATTAGTTCAAAATGCAGGGAAAATTAAGGGGGAGGGAAATACAGGAAATTTCAAGAGAAAAACTACATTTCCTTCATTTCTGTTTAGGTTTTTGTGTTATTCATTAAATTAGTGTATTTTGGCAATGAAAAATGCATACTTATAAAATGTATACTTTTTTTCTTCCTTTTCCCATTGGTTTCCGTTTTGGGATTTCTCTTGGTGATCACCACTCGCCGGTGAAAATTTCTTTCTATTTTCATATAAATTGTTTGCCGTTGTCAAAGCTGAACCTTCCTTCCACTATAGGCTTACGAAACTGTCCGCTTGACCTCTGGTCACATCCTGATGTACTCGTACTTTCTGAAAAACCTTCTATTTCAAACTTCACCGCAAGCACATGTAAACACTCGAGTGTATTCGGGTTTCTCAATACGTAAATAAATAAATAAATAAAAGAAAAAAAATCTGGATTTGCGCAATAACCTAGGCAGTGTAATTTAGAGGACTTCTGAAACGGGCCTTTTCCATACAATAAATTTACCAATTGTATTTTTCTTAATATAACTTCCGCTAGTTCTTCGGCCTTAATCTGGTGCCTACCTTAATCTTTGAATCTAATCTGGTATCTATCAGTTCTACTTCTCGTTTCGCTCTACCTCTCATTACGAGAAATGCTTCTACCAGGACGGCTTTGCATACTGCAGATGTAAAATTCTCGCTGCCTGGTTCACCCATCAAAAATTTACCGATGATTTTGTGCCAGTTCAGTGCCATCCTCGCAGTACGGCTGTTGCTATGGGTGACCTCTTCCCGAACTGGCTAAAGAAAAAGAAATGCGAATCCAGTTGCTCCAAAAAGTTCATTAGAGAATTTGTACCATCGAAGGTAACTGGCGGTTTTCTTACGCGCGCATCGTATCTACGGTGAATCTTCTGTGGGATTTATTTCTGTGAGATCTGTAGGGTATCGGTGGAGCCTGAGACTTTGGGAGTGGGGAGGCAAATTGAAAGCTGATTTTGCTTGAGACGTGGTTCTAACTTTTGTTCGGGAGCTATTATAAGATTTAGTTTTCTCAGTCTTATCTAAAATTCGGTTACAAATTATGATAGCTAAGAAAACTAAACTTTAAACACTTTTTACTTTATATCTACCAAATACTTCAGAAATTTCTTGGAGATATTTATTATTTTAAGCTTGTAGATTTGGTGTTCTGGCAAAATAGGAAACACTGCTAGTTTGCTTTTGGGAAATATTTGTGGCAAGACTAAGGCACAAAGATCTAGGGAAAAAGGAGCATAGATATGTTTAGAAAATTGAGACTTTTTAAATAACTACATAAGGGATATTAATTTAAGAAAAAATGATATTATAGCAAGTTCCCCCCTACTATTTAACATTACCGTATTAAACTATTCATTTCAAATTCTGAAGGAATTAACTGTTAAACAAATAAAATTATAGGAACAGTTAAAACTTCTTTTGATATTAAAGCGAATGTTTTAATATTTAATATATTTAATATTACATTTTACTTTTTACTGAATACTTTCGTATTTGTATTCAGATAGTATATGAATTTGCATTTTGTTATTTAAATAATTCTAAACTATTAGATATCTATTTTCAAATCAAGAACACAGTTTTGGTTTGCTCGCTATATTTTTTTAAGCTTAGAATGTATCAATTACTTCAGATCAACCTAATTTTTCTTACCTTCTATCTCTCGACAGATATTACTATATTTTAAATACCCAACGGTCGAAAAATTACTGTACACTTTCAAACATCCATACATTCTCTGGGATTCGAAGCCGGACCCAACGATGTGACAGCCGCTTTCCTATGCCATGTTAAAAAATAACGGTATCAGTTGGTAGTATAAATCATATGATCCCATTTACTATTTCTTTAAATTTTGGTTAAAATAATTTTATTATTTTGGTATCCTAAATTCTACAGTAGGATTATATATTTGCAACAGAATTCGCCTCTTATTGCATTGCTATTTCTCATCTGAGGAAATCAAAAACGCCTACAATTCTTAAAATTTTATATAATTACAAACCTTTTCAAAACATAACTCCGTGTACTCGATTAAGATAGGCTATAGCCTTAAGCACAATGCTGTTTTGAGATCCTCTGAGCCTCTTTCCATGTCTCCATGAGAGAAGAACCCGACTATGAGCAATTATAGATAGTAATATTAGTAGCTTAAAATAGTAGTACTACTACTAGTAGTAGTAGTAGTAGCTTAAAATCTAAATCCTCCAACGATTCATTAGACCTTCACAATATCCATCTTATGCATAACGTTTAATCAATTGAACATAACATCCATGCATGTTTGCCAGTTGTAAATCTTAAATTTCTGAAACATTTTACATACAAAATGAAAACACTGCTCAACATCTACAAATTGATTGTTACGATAATGACTCACCTGTACTCTGGATTCTGTGAGCCCTATACGCATGGCGAGTTCCTCCCTCATGAAGATATCGGGATAATGGGTTTTGGAGAAACTCCTTTCAAGTTCTTGGAGCTGAGCTGGTGTGAAGCGGGTACGATGCCTTTTCTGTTTGACGGGTTTGTCGCTGCCGCCACCTTCGCTTGGATTGGGACCATGGCCAGAATTGGCCCCGTGCAGGCCCGTGCCATCCAGGACCTGCAGACCGCCGCCTGCACCGGTATCACCACCGCCGTTACTCTTGACCAGGCCGGAATCTTCTTTGGAGCCTAAAATAGAGAAGGCTGTGCATGATTATAGACGTTTGTAAAATACCCGTCACTTAGCTACAGAAAAGTTAACAAATTATCTTCTTAATTTATTATGTTTCTGCCTGCTTTTGATAGCTTGATAGCTTCTTAAGGAACAATTGCGATTGCACGAATAAAGATGTCATTCAACAATACAAAGAAAATAGCATTGTAAAAACCAGGATAATCTCTCTTTTGCCGTTCTTCCAAAAAATCTATCTTATAGAATCTCCATTAGAAATTTAGATATTTTAGCTTATATTATTGCTTGCAAGAATACTTATATCCTACTGATGTAATTTCTTTTTCTCTATGTCTGTTACGTAGTTCAGTGACACTATGAACTTTAAACATATTTTAAAATTATTTCTATTTGGAAACGCAATTTAATTTTACTCACTACTGGTGCTGCTAACGGCTGACTTATAGTAATAGAAATGCTCATGAGAGTTTTTTTTTTAATCTTACAGCTTTACATCGAGCTTATTACCTCGATGAATGATCAAAGGCGGATTACGACATTCATATCATATTTTTTGCATAAAGTAAATATAGTTCTTGTGCTGCTGGCACACGTATTTTCGTGTTACATTTTAACTGCATTATTATAGATATATTGCAGAATATTTTAATTCAAAGCAGCGGTTTTAATTTCACCGTCTGAACATTATTGACATTATGGACATTGTAATTCTATGCAGGTTAAATTGCTGAAAATTTAATTATCTTCTATTTAAATTGCTTTTGGTTTACACCTCGTAAAATGAATGCTTCGTTTCATAGCTTATTTTAAAATGTTAGATGTTATAAATAACCTTATTAAATTATTTTCTAAAAAAGTTAATTTAATAATAGATAAAATTATAAAGGAAGTCGGAATAGCCTGCGGTAAGCAGGTTAAGAAAATATTAATTGATAAAAACGGAATACTACTTCTGAGCGCTAAATACAAGTCGAGATTTAACGCAGCACAATCCATACTCTTACCATGTAAGGAATTTCATTCTTCTCTATAAAGCGCATTTGTGGTGTAACTGGAAACATGTCTGGCTAGCAGACCGAAGGGCCAGTGTTCGAATCTTGACGAGAGCATCTTCTTTTTATGTTTTCAACTTCAAAGTTAAATTGAATGATTCTACAGCCATAGGAGACCCTATTAGGGAATTCGAATTCTTACAATGCAGTTTGGAAATAATTTTTTGTAAGCAGAATTTTACAGACACTGCGGTTGGGGTAGCTTCGTAATAATGCTCTGTCACAAAGGTGCCCGCACTTTTATGAAAGTTGAATCCTGCTATAAAACAGAAACTTTTTAAGAGTGTTTTTGTACCCACACCTTTATGAAGAATGGCACATCTGTGCAAGCAGAATTTTCTTTTGCTTTGTAAATTAGAAGAGCACACTAAATTTATAAATAAGTTCTAGTTATGGGCTATATCAATGAGCTGCAACTTCAGAATTACTTCTGCTTATAATTTCGATACCTAAGCTAGAACTTTATTTAGTTAACTTAAGTACGGAACATTGTCAATTTAGAGTTTAAAATTTATGCAAACTCTCTATTTTTTGTAAAGCATTTTGTTTTGCATAATATTTACAATAGGACCTTCGCTCGAGATTCAAACTGTATGAAAAGTAGTAATTTGGTAGAGTAATTTTAGAACAAGGAAGTATACTTAGGAAACTTTAGTGAAATTTCAAGACAAGTTTCTATATTAAAAATGTATTCTTTATACTTTAAGCAAAATAGTGACATGAGAAAGAAATTTCAACTTATAAAGCTGCTTCTGTGCAAAATATCACTTAACATGCAAATTTTTGTAGATTAAAGTGTCTTCTTCGTGTTAATAATTAAGAAGACTAACACCGTTTTTAAATTAACTAAATGAGAAAAGTAAATACGTTCTTTTTTAAGAAGTTACAAACCATAACAAGTTATGTAATTAAAATATATCTTCTTAAAAGGAAACATAAACAGATGTTTAATAATGCAGAAGAAAGACCACAAAATAAGAAAGAGAAAAAAAAAAAAAAAAAAAAGGTTTCTACTTACAATTCTTCGCTAAAGTATTTAACAATCTCTAAATAAGTAGTTAGTATTAAATGTCATAACACCATTCAGTTTTCTGTAAATATTTTTATAGTATGAAATATAAATTGCTGATCTTAAGACGCGTCAAATAATAACAATTATGAAAACTTAAATTTTATCAGGCTGTACGACTAACTAAAACTCAGAACGGGAACAACTGTGCTATGATTTTCAAAATTAGAAACGTATATTTAAGAAATAACATTTAGCCTAAAATTTCTACTTAAAATTTAAATTTTAAAACCGTTTATTTTTCTTTTAAACTATTTTTTATATATATACATATTCTAGAAATTGTTTTTCTGTAAATGAACCTTGTTCGGCATCGTCTTCTGTAAAAAGTTCAAATTATTCTTAAATTTAGCTTTGGTGAAAGCGATGTGAGGAAACATGAGCTCTATGAAAATAAGTTTATAAATAAAAGAAATCTGAAAGATCTTTTAAAAAAAACGCCCAAAGAGGCGTTTTTGTAACATTTTGCTTGTTACGTTTAAATATTATGTTCTTCGCACTTAAACCATAAAATTCAAGTCAACAACAATATCACAAAATAAATTTAAAAGGGCATATCATTAGAATTACCGATACACAGTCTCGCGCATTGCAGATGAAAATGCCTTTTTCCCGCTACAGTGTTGCAATTGCCGGCTTTGAAATCGTTGAATTTGTTAATAAAAAATTCGTTAAAGTTTTATAAAGTATGAAATAGATAATAAAAGGAATTCCAAATTCCAAATTTGGGCTTCCAGTTGCCCATATTTGAGTGGAGGACTATGTAATTCAAATTTGATGGCTCTTGGTACCGTTGTTTTTTCACAGTGCGAGAAACATATATACATTCATGCAGATTCTTCATTATTTAGTTTCTTTAAATACAATGTCGGGCTCTAATATTCGTTGGCAATAATTTGAAAAGGGTAACGCCGTTTATAGTGAACCAACGCAAAATGCCAAAACGAAATTAATAGCTCTTCTGGGCAAATTGCCTCGAAAACATTTATGTGGGCTGCCTTCTTGCCGGAATTAATTAAATTTGGAATAGTAAAATGTTTTATGTGCAGATCATTAAATTTTATCATTCCATTGAAAAATTATGATTAAATAGCTATATATTTTTCATTTTGTAGACAATTTAACACTTTTCCTTTAAAAAATAATTTCCATAGAAAAAGAAACTCTTGAATAATTGTTCAATTTCTGTCATGCTAGCAGTTGAAAAATCAACAAGTAACAGTTTCTTATCGTGGAGAATATTTCCCTTCTGTGCAGAGTCTAATGACGGAACACATAGTAAATAAATAAATAATATTCACCTTGAAACGTTTTTAAACTTTTAAATTGAGAATGAGAATAACGTAACTAAATGGCTGGTCTCGAGTTATTGATATATATTATGAGTCACCTGTAAAGTTTTTGGATTTTATGGCTTCAATATTTTTAAATACAAACTCATTCTAATGGCATTGGGAGAGATTTTCAATTGTCAGATCCCTGCATCCATGAGGATCATGTATTATTACATACAGTACAATAATACATTACATACAATATTATTACATACAATACAATAATACATGTGCAAATATTTGTTTATTTACTTTTACATATATTATATAAATGAATATATGCTTAGATAAACATATATTGTGCAAAAATTAATGCATACATAGCATACCTTAGTGCAAAAAATACATATAAAATTAGAACATCGATTTTTTTATCCATATTTGAAATATATGAAGAATGCACAAGTCTGATGATAGGTTAATAAAATTTATTCTTATCAAAAGAAATAGTTCAGAACTCTGCAATTTTCCACAGAAATATTCGTACAAGTGTTATCAAAAAGTACAATCAGTAGTGAGTTACACTTCAAACTACTAATAACGATAAACACAATGTAATGCAAAGCGCATCTAAAGCGAAAGCTAATCCGATCTCACTCTGAGCTCGCAACAGTAGCAGCAGCAGCTAACTAAACAACTGAGAGCAGATATTTTCTCTTCAGCCTTAAATAGTTTTCAACCGGCCGCGCAAGATCTTCTATTATTTTCTGCTTCTCGAAATTACTGGAACTGAAAACTTTTATAAAAAAGAGAGCAATAGTTTATAAATCACTTAAATAAATTTTCACAGTACGTCGTGCCCTGTAGGTCGAGAAATAGATACTAATCTCCAAATTGGGGAATAGCAGTAAGTATCCAGAAATCAGTTCTAATGGGTTTTAAGAAGGGTGCAAGCAGGAACAAACTAGACAAAGCAATGCTATTAAAGATGAAATGAATGGAAAATGAAACAGCATATCTTGGAGTTACTGTAGATAGCAAGCTTAATTTCAAACCGTATTTTATAGACATATCAAAGCATCCCGCTTCAGCATTGCCAATCTAAGTCCATTATTATGTAGAAGATGCAAGCTTTGATTTAAAAATAAGAATATAATCGATCCATTCATTCCCCGTACTCATTACTATAGTTTTGAAGCAGTTATTTGTACTTATTACTACGCATACGATTTAGTTATACTCCCGTTTAGTTGAAATTTTTAAACTGGTTTTTATTCAAGCAAAATTTTAAGACACCTTTTTTACATTTGGTTTTAATGAACTAATAACTCAGCAACTCTCTTGAAATATAATAGTTATATTCTACATTAATGTAATTCTTATTTAACTTTTTATGACTCATTTTAATGAAGACTAGTTATCAATATCAGTTGATTCAATGCTAATTATTGCATACAGTATTTGTTTCCAGAAAGAACATATGTAACTTGTGTAACCTGAATATGAGACTAAAAGTTTTTCAATATTTTTAGGCAATTGCTGTGATAATTAATTGGCGCAAATAAACAAAAGAGCCTAAAAGTTATACCGCTGGCTTGTGAAAAAAATCTTTAAAA